CACTCAAAATTCACAGTTTATAAGAGTTTCCTTGATTGTTTTCCCATCCTGAGAAAACACTAAGTTCATTTGTTTAAACTGTTGTTCCCTTTTACTGTATTCAGAGTCAAGCTTGCAGAAAAAAAAAAAAATTAATTAGGTTGTAACTATGAATGGTTACAGACAACAGTAGAAATCATGTAGAAGTGCTTGCTTGTATATCCTTTTGTGACTATTTGGTTGCAATCTGTGGCCTATGCTTATAGGACGGATCACCAGGAATGGGCTGTCCCATTGATATATTTCAGTTCAGGAATGAGGCCAGGGAACTTGAGGTGGGGTAGGACCAGGGAGCTAATGGGGTTAGCTTCATAGAGCAGAGACTTTCTGAGGGAGGAGAGGCTTCCTGCCCTACTGAGGATGCAAGCTTGGATTTGGGGAGAGAGGGCAGTAGCCTCAGTGGGCAGGTCATGCTGAAGACAGTTGTAAGAGTCGTGTGGAACTGACTCTTGGTTCAGCAAACTGAGCAGTTCCTAGTACAGCCCTCCTGATCAGCCCCAGTAGAAAAAAGTCTCTCACTGGAGACATTAAGTTATTCATGTATGGCAAATGTGGATCCCATAACCTGATACTAGGAGGTGACTGCAGGCAATTTTCTTCATATGTCCCTGTTGGTTGCATACTTTCCAGTGGTCACTCTGAGCCAGACTCTCTGGATCTGACTTTGGGTCGTTCTTTTGTAGTGAGAAGGACTATATGGAAAATTCAGATCTGGAGACACTGTAGGTTTGCACTTTGGGTTGAGATCTTTGGCTTCAGGGGTGTTGTTAAGCCTACATTTACTTCTAGAAATGAAGTAGAGTGAATCATTAGCAGAACCTCCATTTCTGACCCACCAAATGGGCAGAACAGCTCATTAGGACCACAACACCTACAGTGGAACTGGCAAATAACAATTTGATGGGAGTACAGTTTCCCATAGTGAATGGAAACATCAGTAACAGAATAGCAGCTAGAGACCTCCTTTTTACTTTTCTTTTAGGTGACTGGTATCCCTGATGAACAGATCTTGGTAGCTGTATTTCCTGGGCTGCCTACTTCTGCTGAACTCTTCATACTGCCCCATAAAAACACGACAGAGAGGAGGAAAAGCAGTGAGGCTGATCTGGAGCAAGTAAGGAAAGAAGGATTCATGGAACATTCATTCCTATCATACCATTTGCAGATGGGCCCCTTAACTTGTACAGCATCGGAAATGACTTACAATAAGTGTGATGGAACTGGATGCTTCTGGGACTGTGGCAGTATAGTTTATGGCATTAAGGAAAATGATTTTCAGAGGAAAAATGGGCTTTTCTAATACGTCACTGAGATACGTCACAGTCTACCAACAGTGGTTCTTCCTAGATCAGTAGTCTGTCCTTATTACAGTAGTTATGGCCAAAGGAACCTTGAATATGTACTCCCTCTATTCCCTGGAGGAATGCTGATAGACAGAGGCCAAAGCAGCAAGATAATATACTGAGGTTTACTAAAAATAAATCAGGCTCTTCAACTCGTATATCACTGGAACAAGACCTCTTTTTTCTGCAGCAGCGAATGGTGTGTGCAAACTATATTTGGAAGTTACAATATCCATCCATTTAGATAAATAGGTAATTACAGTGATGAATAGCAACAGTGATATGCAGGCAAGGGAAGAGCTAGGAACAACAGCACTAGTCTGCTGAAGCTTTCATGCTAGAATTACCAAGTGATTAAATCGGCTCTATAAAGGCAAAGGAGTGAAGTACTGCTGGAAATGCTGCTTAGCTCTAGCTAATGTTCTTGTATGCAGCATTTTTACCGCGTGCAAGCTATGTGTGAGCCCATCTCCAAGTAACTCTTAGAGGAGTAACTCTTCTGTAATCAAACATTAAGTAATTCAGAGGACTGAATTCTGTGGAAGCTCTCGTCACCCACTGAGCAAAGTCAGTCCCCTCTGAGTAGTACATTTGTCCTAGGAAGCTAGCAAAGCTGGCTTCTTAAATTTATGGTGGTGAGTGTGCAGAAGAGATGCATTGTGGTGGGAAGGTTTGGAAGGCTTTTTGGAGAGATTTTCTTGGAGTCATTTCCATCCTGTTCAGTAGGATCTACCCATATTAGAATTCCCTCTGAACAAGGTGTTGTGTCAATATTTCATATATCAGTATTATGCAGACATCTCAGAACAGTTTTCTGACTAGCTGATCATAAGGCCTGAAGCTCTAGTGCTCTAATTTTACTTGATGGTCTACTCAGTTGTACTTTGGCACCTGTTGTTGGCTTCTGCTTGAGGAGCTCTGCCCTGGAGAGTAGGCCATCAGAACCACTCAGTAGCTGTGCCCTACCATCAGAACTACTCTAGGGAGACCAGGCATTAACAAACTCAGACTCCAGTGTGACACACCAAGTATGTGCTCTGAAGCAACCAAATAACACATCATAGCTGGGTTGCTGAGCCATGAGTAAACTCCAGTCCAAGGCCCCTCTTCTAAATGAAGGAGAAAAATTGCAAGTTTGCCATTAATCTTCAAAACTGTATTGTCTCAGCCTATTTAAACAGGAGCTACATCACTAGGATTGTCTTGAATCAATGTGAGTAAAGAAATGTTACTAGGCTGGACTACCTAACTCAGTTCCATCATCCACCAATGAAAGGCCAATATGTCAGTGGTTTCCAAGTGCATTAGATCAAACTCGCAGGACATTGTGGAGGGTGAAAAGATCCTTAGTTCTTTTCCTTCCTCCCCTACCCCCACAAAAAAGAAAAGAAAATTTGCCAACTTTCTTGGTTTGCTTCCCAGGAGAGGTATAATAACACTCTGTGAGTCTCAAAAGTCCTGTAGGGACTTGCATGCAATAACACACAATTCCGTCTAAAGCACATGTACATGTTTCTCTCCACTTCCTCAGTCTCTCATTTCCCTTCTCTTCCTGAAGCCAGTAAGAGATGTTAGTTACCATTCACAGGCTACATGCAGTCCTGAATGTTCTCCAGAGCTTGCTGTTTTCTATATTGTAACTACCTGTATCTCTTATTATTTCATCAGGTGGTAGAAATCCTTTTTAATGCTCTCAACCAGAACCTGGTCCAGTTTGAACTGAAGCCTGGTGTTGAAGTCATTGTGTATGTTACTCAGTTAACATTAGGTGAGTGTGGAGTCAAATGCATAGCTGTGGTTCTCTTGAGGCTTCAGACAACTCCAGGAGAACCAGTCTACATTCGAGCACTCACAATTTGGTATGTGCTACTGGGATATGTAGGACTGATTGTATTGAGTCATTTTCTGTGGTAGAAGCAGGAAGTGTTAAAAACGGAATCCAGCAGTGGCATCTTCATGCACCAGTTTGTACAAGTATTAAAAGTACCTTTTAAGAGTTCCCTATGGCTTAATTAACTAGTGCATTGATATTTTTCAAGCGTTTTAGAAAATCAGGTGAATGGTGTTCTATTAAGCCCTCATTGGGCACCTGTGGAATTCAGTGGGAGTATTACTAACTTCCATGGATATTGGATCAAATACTTATTGCAAAGAGCTTGTTAATGTTACGACTAGCCAAGAAACTTTATAGGGGCAAAGTACTCGTGAAAAGAAGATCTAGGCCTCTTATGGGGAATATATGCCTGAATATTGACTTCTACAAATCAGAATTTATTTAACTTTCAGTTAAATAAACTTTCAGTGCTACCTATCTCCATTTTCGCAGGGTAATGAATAGTCACTTTAAGCTTCATCACCCCCTTTGCTTTAAACCACCCTACTATGAAGCTCTCAGCTACTGCTGAGAATTTCAGCCAACCTAGTGTGAAGCTCTCAGCTATTGCTGAGATGACTACAGAGTGATGACTACAGAGGAGAGGATGGATTTATTTTTGCCCTTGCTTTTTATGGCTGCCCTTGCAATTATCTAAAATGTGGGATCTTGTGCATGTGTCATTGCTGATAGCCTCTCCAAAAGATTGGGATTCATGTCCCAGGATAATACACTTCAGCTTCTTTTTACATGAGAATCTCAGAGAGCCAAGAGCTGGGCTAAACCAAGGCTCATGACCTATCCTACAGCTAATGCCTTTTTGCCTTCACTCTCTGACTGTTGTTTGGGGATGAGAGTCAGATGTTAATAGGAGTAGGCTGGAATGAATTAATTTGTAAAACTGGGAATGAGATCCAAATATCTGCAGTCTCCAGGTTCAGAATGTGGGTTTGTTCTAGTAAGACACCGGAAAGCGTGGATTTAGCTTACAGTGCTCAACTGTTCTCGCACACACACCCAGTGGGGGTGCTGCATTTGTTTCATGACTGTTCCCATAATATTTTGACTCAGGTGAAATGACAGTCGGTTCTTTTCCATGAAAGAGTCTGTGTAAGTAGTAGAAGCAGAATACTGGCAGGGTCAGACACTTAGGTGTGGAAATTTGGCGATGGAACCAGAAGTGACTCTATTTGCATAGACTTTGTTCCCATCTTCTGGGTGACAGAAAAAGAATAGAGAACAGTAAAAAACCAAAACCAAATATTTATGCAGACTGAGAAACACTCAGCTGCTACTTATCATTTGCGCATCATTAGAGACTTCTCAACAGACTCTTGATTCTCAGCACAGTGCTCAGGCTGTTAAGATGGTCTGCTCCGATGAGCTGTGGGAATAGCTGCATAAACAAGGTATAGTAATACATTTTATTTAGCCCACCAAAAATGTCAAGGATAGATGGATCAAATCTCAAAAATGTTATAATGTAGTGCGTGCTTGGGTCTAGGATTATTGCTTTGGGCTCCTCCACATTATGAAAACTGGCTCAGTTAAAAAGTCTGTAAGGTCCAATATAAGGATGAACCTTGAGGCTTCTCACAAGACTGGATCCCTGTCACGTGAGACAGACACATGTCCTTGGAGGATGGGAGTCATGCTGCTCATGGATGCTCTGAGGTAGGAGAGCATCCTACCTATCCCCCAAAGGGGAATAGACATGCATTAAGCCACACTTCACAAGTTTCATTTCCACTCCAGTCCCTGGAAAAACCTGAAAAGAAATAGCCCAGAGTGTTAACACAGGAGTGATCAGCCATTCAGCTAAGCATGGCTTGCTGTGCCTTTTCGCTGAGATGTTAGACTGCACTGTCTTTGGCTTTCAAAGGACAAGAGAGTCAATTTGTTTCCTACTGATTGGTCTTGCTGAAAACAGCATCCACCATGCAGCGGTGATAAAGCAGATGTGGCAAAGACAGAGTTGAGCTCAACTCTCTGGTAGTTATGTGCTCCCTAATAATATCTTGTAAATGTAATGCTCTGCCTTTCCTCCTGCAGCACCCCTTGTTGATTCCAGCACAGGTCATAGCAGTTCGGCAATGCTGATGTTGTTGTCTGTGGTGTTTGTAGGCTTGGCTGTTTTTTTAATCTACAAATTCAAGAGGTAAGTTGAGAAACTTTGGGGGATGGGAGAAGGAGACACTGGGTGGTTTACAGGCAGTCTAGGCAGAGCAGTGCCTGGATTGCAGATGTAAAGCGAGTTACGCTGGCCTAAGGCTTAGACCAGTATAGTTCCCTATTTCTCATATGTATAGAGAAGACCATCTACTGCCGTTCCACCACAAACCTGGTGCTCTGAAAGCTCACCAAGAGCTCAGAAATCAAGCTGTGAACTGCTTCAGCAGATTTGTTTGAACCGCAGACCAGAAACGGTACCCTGTGTGCTCACTGAGTACTGAGCTACGCAATGCAGACTTAGTAAAAAGTCACGATGGGTGTCTTCATACAGTCTATATCCATCTGGCCAACTGCCTTAGTGCAAGAGTATCTCATTTGTATGTTCCAAAGTGAATAGTTTAGTCTTGCAGAGGAACAGGTGTGATTATGTTAAGGGAGGGAGACTCAAAGCCAGAAAGGTTTGTGGTAAGCATCAAAATGCCTTTGGGAATCTGTGCTGAGATTTTCTTTGCCAGATGTTAATATAAACCTTTTGCTTCCAGGCAGCAGGCAGGACCTGTGGTGGCCTATGGCACTTTGCTGCTGCAAGCTATGAAACAAAATATGGGATAAGAATGGCCTGTTTGCTGAAGGGCTGCCTTATGAAAACATATTTTAGGCAGATGGAGCTCCTTAGGAGGAATTTTGCATTCAGTACAATACTTACTGTGTTAAATGGTCTATGTGCCCAGATCCTGCCCAGTGGCAAAATACTGTATTAGAAGCATGTTAGTGGGATACAAACAATATTCAAAATGGAATGATAAGACAGGTGTGTATCCTAGTCTCCAGGTTTAAAGTTCCCCTCATTTCTAACCTCTTTCATTAACCATTGTCAAAATCAGTGGGTGGCACTGCTTCTAGTGCTTGTTCCTGTGCACACCAAGATCGGTTACCAAGCTACCACTGACTTCAGTGGCCCAGGACAATTCCCAGAGAACCCACGTGTGTGAATCTGCTCAGGTGCAGATTTCCAGGTCTTCAGCGTGCCTTGCTTGTTGCAGTCTGAAGCCCTCTCTCTGCTTCTGTGAGGTGGAATACAGCTTCCCAGGTGAATGGGGAAATGGACATGGGACTTGTTTAAGGCATTGATTTAATAATGTGCTGGGGAGGCAGCCAATGATTTCTCTCATTCCCTGATGTAGGATGAGGAGGGCAAAGAAGTCTCTCTGGGAGAAGTATCAAGATGTAGGTACAACTCTTTGTAAGACATGCTCTCTTTTGTGTCTTGGTGAGGTGATTTCTTAGGTTTGGCCTAATGTCTTTGACTCTGTGGTCAGGGATCAGTTACCAGGAAGAAGGATCTGTATATTCTGGCTGCCAGAGAGCAGTAAGGAGCTTGGTAATCCACTTCGCTTTGGCAGTCTCCAGGTCATGTTATGCTACTACAGCTCATAAAACTGACTCTTGTACTACTTAAGCATCCTGAGCCTTGAGCATAGCAGCCATCAGCCTTGTGCTGTGCTCCAGGGCTGGGAAGACCCTGCCTTGTTAAAATCTGTGTGAAAATTGAATGCATTACAAATTGGGGATGAGGGGGAAGGTGGTTAAAGCATCAGTTTTGCTTAGCCCAAAGCTCATCAACTTGCTGTCCCCTCTTAACTGCTCTGTCCCAAAGAGGACAAACCCTTGTCAAACTGACAAAGTTTAGGATTGGGTCAGATACCCAGAGTATCCTTAGCTTGATTTTTCAGAACAGAAAGCAACTTTTCAGCTCTGTCTAAAACCTCTGGCTTAATGGATCAGAAGTGGGAGCATGCAACAGTTCTTAATGGAAAAAGGAGGTGAAAACAAAAGCTTTCCTCTAGCTCTCAGTGATGCAGAGGTCCATTAGCAATATGTACTTTTCTGATTAACGGTGATCCCAGCCTGAATACAGAACTGCTGCTTACAGGAAAAGGTTGTGGGAAGAGCATGGGCCTGCATGAATTTTTAATTCTAAAAATTTATAGAACCAGTGCTTTGCTGATTTGCACACAGACTCCTTATTATGAGTCCATCAAGTTATAGACTCAGTGGGCATGTTAAACACTGCTGCCAGAGAGATGCTTGTTGAGGAGATCTGGGTGGAAAAGGAAGGAAGGGGGAAAAGTAGGGAAATAATCTGTAAAAAGGTTGTTTCTTTTCTGGGAGATTGAGCATATAGCAGGTCAATACTATGTGTCTATGGGTGGTGAGTAATAGTGGGGCAATGGGGCAGTCTGTGTGTATGTGTCCTGGGACAGGAGTGCAGGAGTGTGTGTGTGTGCTCAGAGACGTGCGGTGGGACGTTGTGGCCACCTGTGTCCGTGGTGGGAGGCACAGCAGGATTAGCTATGTGTGTATGGATGCACATATGTACGGCTGTCTCAGTTCTTTTTTCCCTAACTCTCTGAAGTACCTGGAGGCTCTTTGCCTCATAACTCTAAAGAACTTTTCTCACCTTTCCTCTCAATCTCAGAAGACTATCACTTCTCTACCATTGCATTATTTGAAAGTGAAACTAAGTCTTCCAATATCTCCAGGCATGTCCTCATGTCCACATCTCTACACACCTCCAGACGTATTCTAGGTACTTAAATCCTATGGGAGTGTATTTGTCCTCTCTCATCCAATGTGTGCTTTCCCTGTGTAGTGCTTATGTCTTCTAGTGATCTAGAAGATCTAGATAAGGCATGTCTGAAGGTTAGAAAGAGAGGGTAGGAGAAAGGGAGAAAAATGTGAAGTTTGTTAACTGCTGCTAAACATCCTAAATATGTCCTGACTTGTTGCTGGTTAAGAACAGAATGCCAAATCAAGCCAATAGCACAAGTCGCTTGAGGTCAGGACTTCACTGGTGTGAAATCAGTATAGGTCTATTGAATTCATTAGAGTTGAGACAATTTCCACTGCTTTCAGTCTCTGACATATCCAACAGCAGACAGGGTTAGTATAAAGAGATGGCATTTTATATAGCCTCTTTTGAACACATCTTCTTTCTTTCTCCTGTGTGCTTTAAGGAACTGAAAAAATTCTCTGAATTTTCCTTATTTTAGCAGTGTGGACTGCATGGCACAGAGTCCTTTTAAGGGCATTAGAAAAAAGAGTCAGTCACCTTCCAACAGGCAACAACACGCAGATAGTCCTAGCAACCCCCACGGTGCTTAACACATTGCTTTTCAGTTCTCATTTTAAACTTGCATTCCCCCAGGGATTACTATCTATCTATCCATCTAGGCCTATCTAACTATCTGTCTAACTAACTGACTTTCAAGATATCATTCTAGCAGTCCAAGTTAACTTCTCTTGGAAGAAGGAAGAAGAAATAATCCCTTCACTTTCTTGGCTTCCTGAGCAGCAAGGGAAAATAAGTACCTGCAGGCTTGTATGATCCGTAGCATGGCAAAGTGTTTTTGCAATGAAATGGTAACAAATAGACTTTGGGTGGGTGTTATGAGGTCCAAATCCTTTCTGTACTCCGAGGCAGGACCAATTCTTTATAACTTTTTCTGATGTGGCAATTCCTACTGAGTCAGTGTGGGCCTGTCGATAGAAACCAGCCTAGTAATTCTTTTCTCAGTTGATAGTAGTGCTCAAATTGATTTTTACTTTTGATTTCTAATGCACCGCTGATCATGTAATAAATACTGAGGGAGCTGGCAATTGCAGCTGATTGTACTTAGTTGATTGCTGCTCTCTGAACTGGGTGTACAGTGTCCACTGTGTGCACAACTTCTCATTTAAAAGGGCAGGACCAGAACATTTAGATTTACAGCTGGAGGAGCCTTTGGGCACAGGATAGGAAGTCAGTGGCCTGAGAGATTTGGGGTAGCTTTAGACTCGTGTTGGAATTAGTGGGTGCTAATGGCATTTTCAGAGCTGAACATCACTGTGGTGCTTTCACCATTCTGAGAGCTGATACTTTGCATCACTGCCAGTGCTGCATTTGTGGGATTGGTCTCAGTTTAATTGGTCTGATTAATCAATGACATGCCAAGGATCCCTGTGTTACAAAATATAACCTCTCATTTTCCTTTCCTGCACAGGAAAATCCCTTGGATTAACATCTATGCCCAAGTTCAGCATGACAAGGAGCAGGAAATGATTGGCTCTGTCAGCCAAAGTGAAAATGCCCCCAAAATAACTCTTAGTGAGTTCACAGACCCTGAGGAGCTGATGGACAAAGAGCTGGACACGCGAGTGATGGGTGAGAGACAGCCCTCAGCTGGAGCTTGTTTCACAGTCTGGGTGAGGATGTTGGTTATTGGGGTATTAGGAGAGGCAGTGACTGTGGCCCCAGGTACAAGCAGGGTCTGAGGCACTGAGGTAGGGGAAAAAAATCTCCCTCTGCAACATGGTAACAGGGAGTTTTTCTTACAGTTTTTCACCTTTTCTCACAGTGTTACATAACCAGGGTAGGAACCTGGAAACAGCAATAGGTATATAGGAGTTAGTAATGGCTGTGGCTCACAGCTATGCCTGCTCATGACCCTGTTTCTCCTGTGGAGGGGTCCCAAATTCCCTGAACGCTCAGAAGAATCAGCTGAGCCAAGCTTACACTGTTGATGTGCTATCATTACAAGTGACTATGTCCCTAATAACGAGTTTACTGCTGGTCAACTGAGCTGTAGTAACAGGTTTTCTGCATGCTCCATGCTTATTGCAAATACAAAAGATGTGTTACTTTTAAGAACCTTTTCTGTCTTTACACTTACACAAGCACATCCTAAGAAGGAGTGAGAAGCAATATAGACCAAACTGTTGAAGCCACTGCACTGACTCTATTCTCCATTTTCTCCTCCACAGGAAGCATCTCAACAATTGCCAACAGTGAAAGCACAAAGGAAATCCCCAACTGCACTAGTGTTTAATACTGAGAATCCACTTGGTCTACAACATTTCTGACTTTTTATTTGTAATTATTATTGTTATTATTATTATTATGAAAAAAGAAAGAGTTATATGTCATTATTATCATTTGGGAGGGGATGGGGTGGGCTTTTCCTATTTACCAGGGCTGCATTCATAAATAGCAGGGGTTCTTCATATTTAGGAAAATACTCATCAGATTAGAAAGAAAAAGCCATGAATGGATTTGAATGCCAGCCTCCTATTAAATACAGAATGGGAATTAAGTATTCAAATCCAACAGGTAGGTATAGTACCTTAGGCAACATGTTGTAGGTAAATTGTCCCTTTTCAGTCCTTTTCAAAATAAGTCATGAATCAGCTACTTCTTCCTGCCAGAGGGCTCAGGCTGGGTTGTTGGACCAGGCTCTGCAACATGCCAACAGCCCTTGCTTTCCAATGACATGCACGTCTCAGCTTTTTGCAGGATCTTGCCTCTTTTAATTGCTTTTAGTTTCAGTCACCCTCTGGCACTGTTGACTGCTGAGAAAGGAAAAAAAAATCAGAGCAAACACACATGTCGGTGCTCCTTGGACTATAGATTGGCTAGAGGGGACAGCACCACAAGCAATGAAGTAGCATGCCTGAGTTTATGAATGCAGCCCAAACCCCATGCATGTGAATAGCGAGGATGCCGAAGGCCTACTGTAGATAATTACAGTGTACATAGCTTTTTATTTCTTGGGAAATAATTTAATGTTTAGTAAAAGAAGATACATTTAAAACAAAACCTGAACCACATACACACATGCACGCACACGCGTGCACACACACGTGCGTGCGCTTGTACATGCCAGCCAACCAGGGACCGTGGTGAGCACTTCAATCACGCTTTGGTTCCAAGCGTGTTCCAATTGTCTGTCATATTTCAATCTGACGCTGCTGTCTATAAACAGCATAGTTTATTTCTCTGTGTATAACTGCAAGCCTTTTTTTTTTTATATATATAGTATCATTTCCTATGATGGAGCAGAAAAAGATATTATCAGGACAATGAAGCCTGTCATGAATATTTTAAGGACGTTCATCATCTATTCACCTCTGTCACTGTTGTCCACTTCTGAGAAGGATCTTGGTGACATCCATTAGGGAAAATGAGGGAAACAAACGTGAAATTATCACCATCTCAGTGTGGGCAAATATCAGTGTGCTTGCAGTACCCAGTACAACCTCAACTCAACTGTAGGCCGTATTGCAGTGGCTTTATTCCCAGTGAGAAGTCATGCTTTTAGCAGTTAAGCTGGTGAAGTAAAGTGCTATTCAGGATGTGTAAGAATAGTAAATTTTGGCTGAACATGATGCATGTGATTAGGGATTGCTCTTTGGAGAGGGGGGTACAGGGTCAGGCCTGCATAACTGAGCTAGGAAAGGTCTTTCTTATGAGTGCTGCAGAATGGCTGCTTCCAATTTTGGATGGGAATGACATCAGAGTAATTTCTGCATGGTGGGTTGGTGCTTTCTGATTAGAACAGGGAGGTTAATGAAGTAAAGGTAGTGGAAAAACTCTTTAGGAATCTTCTAGCACACTGAGTTGAGGATAGGCCCTAAGAATGGTGGAGTTTTGGGGCGGGAGCTTGACTTTGTGGTGAGTTACTTTTATCCATTTTTCTTGAGCTGATGATGTTAAAGATGGACCTTATTCTGCAGAGTATTGAGTTATAAGACTCAGCAGGAGTGGAAGGAAGACTGGAGGCACATTTGGGAAGATGTTCTAGTGCTTGTGTGGTAACAGGAGGCAGAAATGAGGTTAGGTGACAATGTTTGTTACTATTTTTAGGATCTGGATGCAGGACTCCACATCACCTTTAATATATCTGGACTGAAATGAGGAGATGGCTAGAATTCAGGTGTTACTTGCTACCTCTCTGCATTACAACATGCCAGTTGGCTACAAACCAGCCTCAGCTACATGTGTTCACTCTGTTAATGGGCTGGAATGTCTTTCAAAGGTTATAATCCTGATGGGTTTGCAGGTGGAGAGAAAAGTGGTTAAACACAGTTTTGCAGAAAAACACAGGCAGTATTTCA